CCAAGCTGGAAGGCAAAGTCTCCATCTTAAAGGCTCACTGCAGCCTCTCACTCCTGGGCTTCGGCAATCCTCTCACCCCAGCCTCCCAAAGTGTTAGGTTTATAGGCGTGAGACATTGCGCCTGCCCAACTCTTTTTTAACTCTTTCATTCTGAAGTCATTTTAGTCTTACAGAATAATTGCAAAAAATAGTGGCATTCCCTTACATTCTTTCCCAGTTCTCCATGGCATTAACATCCCACATAACTGCAGTACAATGACCCAAACTAGAAAATGAACATTTGGGTCGGGGTGCGGTGGCTCACGCCTGTAATCCCAGCACTTTGAGAGGCGGAGGTTAGCGGATGAGGAGGTCAGGAGTTCAAGACCAGACTGACCAACATGGTAAAACCCCATCTTTACTAAAAATACAAAAACTAGCCGGGCGTGGTGGCAGGTGCCTGTAGTAATTGCAGCTCCTCAGGAGGCTGAGGCAGGAGAATAGCCTGAACCTGGGACGTGGAGATTGCAGTAATCAAGCCATTGCACTCCAGCCTGGGCAAGAGAGCAAGACTCCATCTCAAAAAAAAAAAAAAAGAGGAAAGAAAATGAAATAAACATTGGGCCAGGTGGCTCATGCTTATAATCCCAGCATTTTGGGAGGCCGAGGCGGGTGGATCAGGAGGTCAAGAGATCAAGACCATCCTGGTCAACATGGTGAAACCCCGTCTCTACTAAAAATACAAAAAAAATTAGCTGGGCATGGTGGCACGTGCCTGTAATCCCAGCTACTCAGGAGGCTGAGGCAGGAGAATTGCCTGAACCCAGGAGACGGAGGTTGCGGTGAGCCGAAATCGCGCCATTGCACTCCAGCCTGGGCAACAAGAGCGAAACTCTGTCTCAAAAAAAAAAAAAAAAAAAAAAAATGACTCAGGTGTGGTGATATGTTCTGCAGTCCTAATTACTTGGGAAGCTGAGGCAGGAGGATCGCGTAAGCCCAAGAGTTGGAGGCTGCAGTGAGCCCTGATCACACCACTGCACTCCAGCCTGGACAACAGAGTGAGACTCCAACTGTAAAAACAGAAATTAAAATCAAAATGGACAAAGGATCTGAATACAGGTTTCTCCAAAGAAGATGTAGAATGATCGATAAACACATGAAAAGATGCTCAACAACATTAGTCATTAGGGAAATGCAAATCAAAACCACAAAGAGATACCACTTCACACCCACTAGGATGCCTGAAACTTTTTAAGACAGTAGCAAGTGTTGACAAGAATGCAGAGAAATTAAAACCCTCATATGTTGCTGGTGAGAATGTAAAACGGTGCAGCTGCCTCAGAAAAGTTTGGCAGTTCTTCAAAATTTGTTTTGTCTCTTTGAGGTAGAGTCTCAGGCTGTTGCCCAGGCTGGAGTGCAGTGGCACGATCTTGGCTCACTGAAACCTCTGCCTCCCAGGTTCAAGCGATTCTCCTGTCTCAGCCCCCCGAGTAGCTGGGATTACACGCGTGCGTCACCACAGCCGGCTAATTTTTATATTTTTAGTAGAGACGGGGTTTCGCCATGTTGTCCAGGCTGGTCTTGAACTCCTGACTCCAAGTGAGCCACCTGCCTCGGCCTCCCAAAGTGCTGGGATTACAGGTGTGAGCCACTGCACCAGTTTCTCAAAGTATGTTTTTTAATTTTTTTTTTTTTTTTTTTTTTGTAGAGACGGGTCTTCCTACGTTACTTAGGCTCGTTGTAAACTCCTGGGCTCAAGCAATCCTCCCGCCTCACCCTTCCCAGGGGGCTGGGATTACAGGCATGAGTCACCATGCCCAGCCCTAAAATGTTAAAAATAGACTTGCCAGGCCGGGCGCGGTGGCTCAAGCCTGTAATCCCAGCGCTTTGGGAGGCCGAGGCGGGTGGATCACGAGGTCAAGAGATCGAGACCATCCTGGTCAACATGGTGAAACCCCGTCTCTACTAAAAATACAAAACATTAGCTGGGCATGGTGGCGCGTGCCTGTAATCCCAGCGACTCAGGAGGTTGAGGCAGGAGAATTGCCTGAACCCAGGAGGCGGAGGTTGCGGTGAGCCGAGATCGCGCCATTGCACTCCAGCCTGGGTAACATGAGTGAAACTCCGTCTCAAAAAAAAAAAAAAAAAAAAAAGACTTGCCAGATGACCCAGAAGTTTTACTCCTAATGATATACTCAAGATAAAGCATTTCCACGTAAGATCGTGTACACGCATGTTCATATCAGCGCTGCATTATTTGTAATAGCCAAAAAGTGGAAATAAGACATGGCCAATCAGCAGACACATGGGTAAACCAAATGTGGTCTGTTCATTTCATGAAACATTATAATTGCCAAAAAAGGAATGAAAAAGCCAGGCGCGGTGGCTCACGCCTGTCATCCCAGCACTCTGGGAGGCCAAGGTGAGCTGATCACTTGAGGTCAGGAGTTCGAGACCAGCCTGGCCAATATGTTGAAACCCCATCTCTACTAAAAATGCAAAACAATTAGCCTGGTGTGGTGGCGGGTGCCTGTAATCCCAGCTACTCGGGAGGCTGAGACAGGAGAATCGCTTGAACCCAGGAGGCGGAGGTTAGAGGGAGCTGAGATCACAACACTGCACTCCAGCCTGGGCAACAGAGCGAGACTCCATCTCAGAAATAAATAAATAAACAAAACACTGAGGAAACACTGATATTCGCTACAACGTGGATAAACCTCCAAAGCCTCCTGTTAAAGGAAGGGAGCTAGACTCAGTCACGTAGTGTATGATTGTAGTTATGCAAAATATCCACAAAGATGAGTCTATGGAGATAGAGGCAGATTGCTGATTGCCAGAGGCCAGGGGCTAAGGAAAATGGGGAGGAACTGCTTTATGGATATGGGGTGATGGGAATGTTTGGGAATTCACCTGAACAAGAAACAGTAAAAAACAGCAAAAAGGGCTGGGAGTGGTGGCTCACACCTGCAATCCCAGCACCTTGGGAGATCAAGGTGGGCGGATCATGAGGGCAGGAGTTCGAGACCAGCCTGGCCAACATGGTGAAACCCCGTCTCTACTAAAAACACAAAAATTAGCCGGGCATGGTGGCGTGTGCCTATAATCCCAGCTACTCGGGAAGCTGAGACAGGAGAATCACTTGAACTCAGGAGGTGGAGGCTGCAGTGAGCTGAGATCGTGCCACTGCACTCCAGCCTGGTGACAGAGGGAGATTCCATCTCAAACAACAACAAAAAGGAAGGAAATGGTAGAGGTGGCAGTTGTAAGACACTGTGATTGTCCTGGTGCCGCTATGCGATGATCAAATTAACATTATGTGCACTTCACCTAACTTACTTTTTGAAAAAGAAATCTGTCTTTGCCTACTAACAAGGAAACTTAAAAGAAGAAGAAAAGGCTGGGCATGGCGGCCCATGCTTGTAATCCCAGCACTTTGGGAGGCTGAGGCCGGAGGACTGCTTGAACCCAGGAGTTCAAGACCAGTCTGGGCAACATAATGAGACCTCACTTTACAAAATATTAAAAATTAACTGGGTCAGGCATGGTGGCTCATGCCTGTAATCCCAGCACTTTGGGAGGCAGGGGCAGGTGGATCACTTGAGCTTAGGGGTTTGAGGCCAGCCTGGGCAACACGGTGAAACTTCATCTCTATATGAAAATATTTTTTAAAATTAGCGGGGCATGGTGGCGGGTACCTGTAATCCCAGCTACTTGGGAGGCTGAGGCACGACAGTCACTTGAACCAGGAGGCAGAGGTTGCAGTGAGCTGAGATCACACCACTGCACTCAAGCCTGGGCAACAGAGCAAGACTCCAGCTCA